TCATTCCGCGCCACCTGCAGCTGGCCATCCGCAACGACGAGGAGCTCAACAAGCTCCTGGGCCGCGTCACCATCGCGCAGGGCGGTGTCCTACCTAACATCCAGGCTGTTCTGTTGCCGAAGAAGACCGAGAGCCATCACAAGGCCAAGGGCAAGTGAGACGTGGGCGAGGCAGAACGCCTCCACTGTACCACACAAGTCCTTTTTTGAAATCAAAGGCTCTTTTCAGAGCCACCCACTGTTTCAAAGAAAGAGCCTTGTAATTCAAGTCGTTTTGTTTTCTTAGTGCGGGAGTCTTAATGTAAACGCGTTATCAAGGATGTCAATGACATGTAAGACTAAAAACATGAACTTGGGACCCAAAGGGTTACTAGAGACATGTATGTATTATTCCGTGTGAGGGAGGGAAATAGTCCTTCAATAAATAGCTGCATCTTGGCCTCTGTTCCAGCTTATAAGCCTCATGTCAAAGCAAAATATGTGCATGATAGCTTGCCCTAAAATATAACGACTGGGATTACTTGACTGGGCAAAAGGCTGAAAAGTGGACATGAAAGGGATTATTTTAGAGGAATAATCAGAGATCTGGTCTTTGAAATAATTTGTCATTTAAGATTCTGATAAGCTTTATGAGTTCAATTTAAAATGTAAGTGCTTCGTTGGGTTGGAGTTGCCAAGTTTTAAGAGCACATGAGATTCACCAGAGTTGATCAATTGGATTTGAAGTTCTAAAGTCTTGGGAGCGATATGCTTTGCTAGCTGCATTTTTAATACTGAAAAAGAACAAAGTAAATGTTTAAAGGAGGTGCCAAGTTTTAAAGGGAGTTTAATAGTGAATAGGATAATTATTTAACGGCATCTTTAAAAATAGGTTCACCAAAGATTGCTTTAAATTGATTGCTAACATCTACTAGGCTTAGAAAATGAATTTGATAAGAAAAATTAGTTTTGTGACATTTTTAAGTTGAATGTTGTTAGAACCAGTTTAATTAATATATGTGGATTTTTTATCAAGATGGTTGTCCATGAACTCCGTATTCCTCTACTAAGGAGGGTTTGTAAAGCCACAGAGGGGCCCAGGCAAAATCAACAGTGAAAGGAGAATGTTAATAGCACCTTCCTCAAGGGGGATTTAAGGATGAAATCAACAGTCATCCTTTTTTTAAAGTCCCAGCACAAAATATATAATTACTCAATAAATATTTACTGTTGCTCTTGTTCTTGTAATCCTTACTATTTTCATTTTTAGTAATTGTGGTGAGACTATACAAAGGCATACACCAATTCAACTATTTCTACATACATAACTCAAGAACCATTCACATTCAAGTTGGGCAACCATTCTCAATTCTTTCTCAAATTATTCCACCATTAACATAAACTCAGTGTCTGCTTAGCAGGACTTCATTTTTCTTTATGGCTGAGTAGTGCATATATGAATATATACCACATTTTGTTTATCCACTTATCTGTTGATGAGTACTTAAAATGCTTCTGCATTTTTATTAATTTTACTGAAATATGGTTTGTTAAATGATTTAAGAATGCATGTGTGGTGCTCGCTTTGGCAGCACAAATACTAAAATTGGAATGATACAGAGAAGATTAGCATGGCCCCTGTGCAAGGATGACACGCAAATTCGTGAAGCGTTCCATATTTAAAAAAAAAAAAAAGAATGCATGTGTGATATAATTTATACTACTTAATGTAAGTATTCAAACCAGTGCTTTCTAGACACCATCTGGAGGAAACCATAAATCAGCAAATCTGTATAAAACATCCCAATGCTATAAAAGTATTCACACTACAAAATTGATAAGCAATTGCTCTAACACTATGGATTTAAACAACAACATTCACAGGTCATTATGTAGATAGCTGGACAAACAATGTCAAATAGACAACATTTCAGAAAAATATACTGCAAGGGGCAGTCCAAAAGATTATATAATCAGTTATGTTCCAATAACAACCTTTGATTCTAACTTAAATTTGTCTTTATGCAGCCCTTATAGATCTTCAAATTATTTATGGTATTTAAGAAGAAAGGAGTTCCTTTGGACTCTAAATTAAGATGTAATGAGATGCACCTTGATGAGGAACACTATTGATGCTGTAGAAAAACAGGTTTGTATAACTTGTTTTGACTCCTGCACTAGCTTTCTAAATCTCCCTGTGCATGACCTTCATAACTTTGACCTAGCTCTGTCCAAATTTGCCCCATAGCGTTTCTGAAGGGTGTAATATCCCTTGTAATGTTGGTTAATAAACCAGATTTCAGCCTGCCACCAGGGATGAAGGTTTTGTTTCATTCCAATACTTGTGCTCTCAGCAAATTTCCCTCCTCTCCCCTCCTGTCCTCTGCCCCCCTCCTCTCCTCTCCTCCCCTCCCTTCCCCTCTCCTCTC